AAACTATCAATAGAGCAAACCAACAACCAACAGAATGGGAAAAACATTTCGCAATCTACCCATCTGACAAAGGGCTAATACCCAATCTACAGAGAACTTAAACAAATTTACAAGAAAATAACAAAGAACCTCATCAAAAAGTGAGCAAAGGATATGAACAGACATTCTTCTAAAGAAGACATTTATGCAGCCAACAAACATGAATAAAAAGCTCATCATCACTGGTCATTAGAGAAATGCAAATCAAAACCATATTGAGATACCACCTCACACCAGTTAGAATGGCGATCATTAAAAAATCAGTAGACAGTAGATGCTAGAGAGGATGTGGAGAAATAGGAACCCTTTTGCACTGTTGGTGGGTGTGTAAATTAATTCAACCATTGCGGAAGACAGTGTGGCGATTTCTCAAGGATCTAGAACCAGAAATACCATTTGACCCAGCAATCCCATAACTGAATATATACCCAAAGGATTATAAATCATTCTATTATGAAGATGCATGCACACCTATGTTTATTACATTACTGTTCACAATAGCAAGACTTGGAATCAACCCAAATGCCCACCAATGAGAGACTGACTAAAGAAAATGTGGCACATATACACCATGGAATACTATGCAGTCATAAAAAAGGATGTGTTCATGTCCTTTTCAGGGACATGGATGAAACTGGAAACCATCATTCTCAGCAAATTGACACAAGAACACAAAACCAAACACCGCATGTTCTCACTTATAAGTGGGTGTTGAAGAATAAGAACACACGGACATGGAGAGGGGAACATCACACACCAGGGCTTGGTGGGTGGGGGGCTAGGAGAGGAATAGTAGGGGATGGGGGGATTGGGGAGGGTAACATTAGGAGAAATACCTAATGTACATGACGGGTCAATAGATGCAGCAAACCACCACCATGGCACATGTATACCTATGTAACAAACCTGCACAATCTGCACATATACCCCAGAACTTAAAGTATAATAACAAAAAAATAAAAATAAAAATCTAAAAAGAAAAATGAAGCTGACAAATTAGATAAAAGTTTATTTGTATGCTAAATCTATGGATGTTTCAACAACATAGTATTTTACAGCTTGGAACAAGATTATCACATATACAAAAACCTCACACGTATTAAAGAAATTTGACTCAGTTAAAAAAAACCTGGAAAAGGTCTCGAATAACAGCACATACCTTTGAATCCTATTTTTCATTCTAACCTATAAAGACCGAATAAGGACATATGATATATATCTAAAGAAAAAGAAAATTAAAAAGACTACTATTAAATTGTCTTGAAGTTACAATTAGCCAAATACTCAATACCATCCCTGCTGAAGTCCTGTGACATTTTCAGAAATATTTTTAAAATGTGAAACGCAAATTAATATTATCTTCCATTGCCTTAGCTGTCCCTTTCCCATTTATTAATATATACTTTTATGAAATCAACGTATGCTTATTCCACTACTGTTAGGTAAAATAATTCAAGTCTCAGTCTCTGACTTCTAATGCTAGTTTAAGATAATACTTCAATGCTTGAGTGGAAAATTACTCAGAAATTTCAGTGACAATTCAATTTCACTATAATCTACCTACATTTAGAAAACTAATTAAATTATTTGCATAATAAAACATAAGCTGCTTATCTTTTCTCTTTGCCTTAAGTACAATGAGAAAAAGAATATTTTTGAAGTTATTTAAAATGAAATTAAAAGTGATTTTTAAATTTAATTTTATTAGCAAAGTAAAAATTTAATCACATTTTAACTCTACAGATCAATGTCAGAAAATTAACCACAAAGCAGTTAGTATTAGAAGTTAATTTCTTATAATTTTTTACTTTTATTCATTCAATTAGGGATAAATTTCAAGATGTATTTAGTTTCAAAAGTCATTTTTTCATTCTGTAAATCTGAATTTATTGACCAGAATATACATTCTAAGGTTAAAAACAATTTTACAAAGGTTTATCTGCCATCAAGATGTATATAGTTTTTATATTTTTTGTGCATACTTAGTAGGTGTATATATTTTGGGGTTACATGAGAAATTTTGATGCAGGCATGCAATGAGTAATAATCACATCATGATAAATGAGGTATCCATCACTTCAAGCATTTACCCTTTGTGTTACAAACAATTCAATCATACTCTTTGTTATTTTTAAAAAGTACAATTACTTTTTACTATAGCAGTTCTCCAAAATTTAATAACTCTTAAGATTTCCAAGCCTTTTAACTGCATGCATTTTTCAGAGATCATTAGCATAGAGAATTTCAATAACTGACTCTTTCTGCACTGCTTTAAATTAAGCAGTGTTTTCCCGCTACTTATAAGACCATGTATGATCCCAATATTCAATTTTGTCTTATATTACACTCAGACACTGCACTTTAGCCATAACTACTTTTTGTAATATACCAGAATTCACCAGGTGACTCTAGACTCAAGTCCTTTGCTCTTGCTGTTTCCTCTGTTAGTGTTCCTTCCTGAATCCTTTGAGTGTCTGGTTCCTTATAACCTTTTCCCAGAATCTTCCATTGTCTATGTCTTAGTCTGCTCTTCTTGTTCGTTCTCATTCATTCTCGTTCTCATAGTCATTCATTCCATCTCTACCTGTCTATCTCTCTGTTGCTCCCTCACTCCCTTTCTGCAGGCCTCTGTTTCAGCCTCTGAAAATCATCAAAAGCATGTGTGTTGCAGTGCATACAAATACACACTCTGTAAGGTTTATATGAAAAATTGAAAATTCTGCATCATACATGATAAATATTTTCAACTGGGGTAGATAATTACCAAACGTTTTCTAAAATGGCCCTGCAAATTTATATTTCTGCTAAGAGCTCCTGAAGCTTCACGTCTTATCACTTGGCATTAACAAATATTTTGAAGCAATTTTTGCTAATCTTATGAGAATGAAGTGATATTTTATTGTTGTTTTAATTTACATTTTCCTGATTATTAATGAGGCTAAGCATCTTTTCATAAGCTTTGAATTTCCTCACTGAAAAGTTCCACGTCAAGTATTTTACTCAGTCTCTATAAGACTTTTGATAGGAGCCCTTCACAAAGTGTGATATATGTCTCTACTCAGTTATATGCATTGGAAATATCTTCTACTGCCTACTGATTGGTCTTTCCATTTTTTAATGTCTGTTGATGAACAGAAGTTAATGATTTAAATGTAAATGCTATTTTAAAAATGTTTTCCCTTAAGCTATAATTTTAAAGTCTTGTTTAGAAAAACACCTATCTTCAGGTCGGGAAGTTAATCTAGATAATCTTTTATATATTTAATTTTTCTACCTTTCAGCTTTTAATCCATTTGGAATTACTTCCTTATATGGTGTGATCTGAAGATTCATATTTCTTTCTTTCCACATGAGAAAGAAATTTTCTGAGCACCATTTGAGAAAGAACATCCATTTTCCACTGTTTTTCAGCACTACTTCTATCATAAATCAAGTACAATTTATGCCAAAATCTGGGTCTATGCTCTCTATTCTGCTCCAGCAGTTTACTTGTCTACTGAGAAAATAATGCACTTATCTTGATTACCATAGGTTTTTTACATGCAAGGTTATATTACAGAAGAAGCTTTTTCAGTTTTTCTTCAATAATATCTTTGTTATGCAGAAAGAAAAATACTGCATGGTCTCATTCATGCATGGAATCTAAATATGTCAAACTCATAGAAACAAATAACAGAATGGTGGTTACCAGGGCATTGGATTAAGGAAACATGGGGAAATGTTAGGCAAGGGTACAAACTTTTGGTTACGCAAGGCAATTTCTGGAGATCTAATTTACAACTATATGACAATAATTAACCATATTGCATCGTACGCTTGACATTTGCTGAGAGACCTTACATGTTCTAAATATAATGAGAAAAAAGTGTTAAATATGTGAAGTAATGGCTGTATTTAGCTTGATAGTGGTCAATATTTTACAACGTACATGAGTATCAAACCATCAAGTTGTATACCTCATATATATACAATTTCTCATTGTCACAATACCTCAATAATATTGAAAGAAGAAAAAATGATTGTTTTGGTTTTCCTGGGCCTATTACACTTCACTATAAATTTTAGAATTGGCTAACTGGATTCCAAAACAAAAAATGCAGAACACCTGTTGGAATTTTAATTTTGCTTTTGCTCAGCTTTTTAAAGAATTCTTTTTAATACTGAGCATTTCAATCCATAAACAAAGTAAGTTTGTTGATATTTTAGTGTCTCGAGTTTTATTATTTCTACTGTGATGGTTGTGAGCATCTTTTGTTAGATTTTCTCGAAGTACTTGATAATTTTTATGCTACTGTATATTGTATTGTTACTGTTATTTGTCTCAAGTTATTTTTGAATTTCCCTTTTGATATCTTCTTTGACCCAATAAATGTTCAGGAACATGTTAATTTCAACATATTTGTGAATATCCCAGAATTCCTCCTGATACGGATTTCTAGTTTTATACCACTGCAATTGGAAATGATACTTGATATGATTTCAACCTACTTAATTTTGTTATGGCTTGTCTTGCATCCTATACACGGTCTTTTCCTGGAGAATGTTCCATGTGCACTAGAAATATAAATCATATCTGATTTTTAAATTTACTTTCTAAATATTGGTTTTTAATATAAAAGATATATTAAATTTTAAACTGAGATATAATTCACATCTCATAAAATTAATTTTTTTTTAAATTTACAATTCAGTGACTGTTTGTATACCGTAAGGCCTTACAATTATATTAGTAGGTTCTTTGAAACCGCAATCTTAAGTTGAATAACATATAATAAAACCAATTTGGTCAGACGTGGAGGCTCACACCTGTAATACCAGCACTTCAGGAGGCTGAGGTGGGTAGATTACTTGAGGTCAGGAGCTTGGGACCAGCCTGGCCAAAATGGTGAAACTCTGTCTCTTCTAAATATATAAGAATTGGCCAGGTGTGGTGGCAGGTACCTATAATCCCAGCAACTCAGGAGGCTGAGGCAGGAGAATCACTTGAACCTGGGAGGCAGAGACTGCAGTGAGCTGAGGTCATGCCACTGCACTCCAGCCTGGGCAACAGAGTGAGACTTAAAAAAAAAAAAAAAATTACCATAGGCTAATTGAGATACATGAGAGTAAATTTCCCATGGCATATTTCTAATCACAAAAATATCACCAAGCTTCCAAATAAAGACTGCAGACTCTTCTAAGATTAAAAATTAAAGCAAATGTGAACTACATATACTTTTAAAAAAGATTAATAAAGACGAGTAAGAAAATTATTACCAATTTTTTTGTCTATTACCGAGTAACAGTAGTTGTAGGTTTAATTAAGGCAGCCGTGGGCTAAATCAAGGAATAAATGTTTGCAGATTGAATATTGTAAGGAGCACCTCTGACCACCACACAGTACAAAAACAAACAATAAAAAATGTGCTGGGCTGAATGCTTTCAAACCACATTGCTTATCGTTGTATGTTTGCATGATTATCATCTACTTTACAAGTTTTTATTTTACAAGAATTTGTATTCATTTATTTATTTTCCAACCCACTTATTTCAGTTCAGGGTGGTGGATGGCTGCAGCTTATCTCAGCAGCTTAGAGTACAAGGCAGCAATCAACCATGGGCAGAATGTCATTCCATCACAGGGTACATTCACATAAACCCACACTCACTCACACTGGGACAACTCGGACATACCAATTAGCTTAACATTCACATCATTGGGATGTGGGAGGACACTGGAATAGCTGAAGAAAACCCATGCAAACATGTGGAGAATATGCAAATTCCACAGTGACCCCAGTTAGAAGTCAATATTTTTCTTTCATCAATGTTATAATGAAACAACACTGAATGAAAGAACATTATTCATGGATGTGCTGTGTTCAAAAATTTGTGCAACAATCACAGCTATCTACTTTCAGAATATTTGTACCACCGCCAATAGAAATTACATTCCATCAGTATTCATTTCTCATGCCAACTCAAAGACTCTGGAAACCACTAATCTACCTTCAGTCTCTATAAAGTTTTCTATTCTGGACCTTTTATAAATCAATTTGCACAACATTTGGTCATTTGTGTCTGGCTTCTTTCAGTTAGCATAATATTTTAAAGACTCATCCATGTTGTAGCATGTATCACTACTTTACGTTTTATAGCTGAATGATACTCCATTGTAGGTATATATCACTTTTTTTTTCTCTTTTTTTTCCCATTTATTTATTTTATTGCATTTTAGGTTTTGGGGTACATGTGAAGAACATGCAAAATTGTTGCATAGGAACACACATGGCAGTGTGATTTGCTGCCTTCCTCCCCATCACCTACATCTGGCATTTCTCCCCTTGCTATCTCTCCCCAGCTTCCCACCCCCCACCGTCCCTCCCCTATTTCCCCCCAACTGACCCCAGTGTGTAGTGCTCCCCTCCTGTGTCCATGTGTTCTCATTGTTCAACACCCGCCTATGAGTGAGAACATGCGGTGTTTGATCTTCTGCTCTTCTGTCAGTTTGCTGAGAATGATGGTTTCCAGGTTCATCCACGTCCCTACAAAGGACCCTAACTCATCGTTTTTGATGGCTGCATAATATTCCATGGTGTATATGTGCCACATTTTCCCTATCCAGTCTATCCTCGATGGGCATTTGGGTTGGTTCCAGGTCTTTGCTATTGTAAACAGTGCTGCAATGAACATTCGTGTGCACGTGTCCTTATAGTAGAACGATTTGTAATCCTTTGTATATATCACATTTTTAAATCTATTTATTAGTTGATGAGCATCTGTATTTTTCCACTTTTTGGCTATTATAAACAATGTTCCTATGAATACTCATATAAAAGTTTTGTTTTGCTTACTTGTTCAGTGACTTTTCTGAACTAATTCTGGAAAAGTGGTATTCCCTGTCATGCGTAGCCACTGAAGTCCCCGTTCAGTTAGTTCCTTAGTGGTAAGTTAATGACTGGACAAATATTTTGTTAAATATCTGAAGCCAAAAACTTCAGTTTTTGCTGAAGGACTCTGTACCTATATTGATAATACTTTCACTACTCATTCTGGTAATGTACACCTCTGCCTTAGCTTCACTTCCTGCATTGTCAAAACCTCAAGGTCAGCCAGAGGTTAAGCCTTTCCTGTGCATTTTAAACTCTGGACATGCACATAGCCCTGTGCTTGTGTGTGGCCTCTTGATTCCCAAGAAGATGTTGGATTTTTTCAAACCACCCTAAGGGGATCTTGTTCCCTGAATTTTACTTTCAAGCTTTTTGATTAGCCTATTGTTTTCCTCGACTCTTATTCTCACAACAAACTACTGCAAGAAGTATTTGATTCCAATTGTTTTTGAGAAAAATCCTTAGAAAAGCTGTTCACACTTCAGGATCTTTGAATAAAGACAGATTTATGAGCGAGGTCTTTGTTGAAACCACGATACAGGGAAAATTAGAAAAATTATCTGAAAACAGAGCTTTGAAAGACACACTTTTTGTCCCAAAGTTACTTGTTTTAAAAGCTACCTTCAAACTGGGAGTGGGAGTTTGTAATACAGCTAGTTAAAACACTGTAACATTTCACTCATAGGCGGGTGTTGAACAATGAGAACACATGGACACAGGAGGGGAGCACTACACACTGGGGTCAGTTGGGGGGAAATAGGGGAGGGACGGTGGGGGGTGGGAAGCTGGGGAGAGATAGCAAGGGGAGAAATGCCAGATGTAGGTGATGGGGAGGAAGGCAGCAAATCACACTGCCATGTGTGTTCCTATGCAACAATTTTGCATGTTCTTCACATGTACCCCAAAACCTAAAATGCAATAAAATAAATGGGGAAAAAAAACATTTATTTCTCTTACCAATATTCAGTTGTTATTGAATAAACACTACCTAGATTGCTAAAGGCTTTTGATTAATTTTCAGTCTGGAAAAATTATATTCTGAGAATCTTTGTCCATGTTCTCAATGCTTTTATGGAGGAGAGGATATATGTAGGTGTTTATTCTGCCTATTTTGCTCAAGTTACTACCTAATTTTACTATATTGATATTTTCATTTATCCATGTACTTTGCTAATCCTTCTTAAACTGTTTTCCTGGAGATTTTGTTTTCATAGGAATACAATAATTGAATCTTCAAATAAAGACATGCTATTCTCCTTGTAATTCTGTACCTATCATTTCTTTTATTCTGCCTAACTGCAATGTCTAGAACTTGTAGAATCATGCAGAATAGAGGTAATGATAATGGACATCTTCCTTCTGTTCCCAGTCACTATAAAGCTTTGAGTACTGTCATAACCTCCGATTAAAAGATTTTCCTACTCATCCTAGATTGCTAATAGTTCTTGTTTGAGTTACTGGTGAATCTTATACAATTATTTTTCTTCATCTTATAAGATGATTATATGGTCTTATGTCTTAAATGTGTTAATATGGTGAATTACCAAGCATTAAATACATCAGTCAAAAGCCATGAATGCATAGTTATACGAAAGCCAGCTGTAGCAAATTAAAAAAAGATCAGGGAGTAGTAAGAAAAATGCCTTATTTTGTTTTCTTAAAAAAAAATGTGTATTTGGAGACACAATTTGTACAACCTGCTGAGGACAACACAGAAGATGACACTGATCTAATTAAATGAAGTTTTTCCATCGTCAGCTCTAGCAGGTGCATGGAATTGAATAATTACAAGAGATTATGGCAAGTTCTACAACTGTCATCTCCTGTAAAAGCTTTGGTGACTGGAAATCATGTCAATAACACTACAATAGTCAAATAAGCAGCAGCCATATGTATAGCCCAGGGTTGCAGAACATGTACACTGTTTTCAGGTTGCCTGGATTTAAAACCTAGATCTGCCATTTAATAGCTATGACTGTGGGCATGACACTTATTTTCCATGAGCCTCAGTTTCCTCTTCTGTCACTATATCAACATTATTTTCACAGAACTCTTGTAAGGATTACATGTGATATGTACATCAAGTGCTTAAAAAGAGACCCTGGTGGCCGGGCGCAGTGGCTCAAGCCTGTAATCCCAGCACTTTGGGAGGCCGAGGCGGGTGGATCACGAGGTCAAGTGATCGAGACCATCCTGGTCAACATGGTGAAACCCCGTCTCTACTAAAAATACAAAAAATTAGCTGGGCACGGTGGAGCGTGCCTGTAATCCCAGCTACTTAGGAGGCTGAGGCAGGAGAATTGCCTGAACCCAGGAGGCGGAGGTTGCGGTGAGCCGAGATCGTGCCATTGCACTCCAGCCTGGGTAACATGAGTGAAACTCCGTCTCAAAAAAAAAAACAAAAACAAAAACAAAAAACAAAAAGAGACCCTGGTAATAGAAAATGCTACAAAAGGGTTAGTTATTATTATATATTTTTTGACCAATTTAACAGTTCCACCTAATAAATAGATGGGTTCTGTCATTGACATCACCATTTATTTCTATAACTACCATAGACCTTCAGTCTTTATTACTGCAATTTAGGTTGCCAGTAGATTATAATACCCATCCCAATAAATCAGTACTAATATTTGGGAATTAAATTTTTTAATCACTGTCCCCAACTTTTACTATAAAGATCTATTAAAGGTGAATTAGTAACAACTTTAGTCCATCATACAGACATATTATGGGATTTTTAATCCCATTAAACCTTTAAAGATTCATATTTCAATGCTTATATTTAGAATTTCATTAAAACTATACGAGAGCTTCAAGAATAATGTTTCTCTCACTTATGAGTTTCATACTTGTATATGCTCTTGTGTAACTGTTTAGTGTCCCTTAAACTTGAAGAACTTAAAAAAATGGTAACTATGTGAGGAGATGGATACCTTAATAGCTCAACTGGAATAATCATTTTACTATGTATGAGCATATCAAAATAACTTCTACACCTTTTGTAAATAAATATATAATTTTCATTAGAAACAAATAGTTAAAAGTAAGATAAGTTTTAACATTATAACTGTTTTGGGATACTTAAGGTGTCACTTTTCCAGCCAGAAACCTCTGTGGCCAATAGTGCCAT